CTGAGAGCTTGAAGGTGATAACAGCATCTCTCTCAACAGGACTTGAGAGGTTTCCTGTCTGAATAATATTGTAGGGCTACTGCCCAAAGCAATCTCTAATATTGCAGGATTTGTTTCATGCAGGAAACAATGGACATACTCAATAAAGCTGCAGCTAATGATGGTCTTTATGTCCCTGTGTCCTTTGCTCTAAACAAGGTAAATACACATTTCCTGTATATCTTTGCCCTGAAGGGGTTATGCTGCTTCTTCTCTTCATCTCCAGTTTAAGCCCTGTCTACACTTAGGGTGACCAGATGTCCCGATTTTGGGGTCTTTTTCTTATATAGGCTCCTATTACCCTCCCACCCTGTCCCGATTTTTCACATTTGCTGTCTGGTCACCCTATCTACCCTGCTAAATTAAAATTAACCTGACCTAACTTACGTCAGCATGTAGCCACCACAGTAATTACATCACTTGTGCATGTCTACACTTTGCTCCTTGAGTTGGTGGTGTGCGTCCTCACCAGACGTGCTTGTGTTGATTGTACTGTCAGTGTGGGGCATTGAGGGACAGCTACTGAAAGCCTCTAGCAGTCAACATAAGCAACACAGCGTCTACACTGACACGATATCGACCTTGATTCTATGCCGCTTGTGGAGGTGAAGTTTTTAAGTAGGCGTAGTGGGGCATTTGTCGGTGGAAGTTAAATTTAAGTGTAGACACTGCCAATTAGGTCAATGCAAGGCAGCTTATGTTGACCTAACTCTGTATTGTAGACCAGGCCTAAAACTTCTTATTCCCCTACATCACTACATACAAGTTGCTTTACCTCCTGTTGCCTCTTCTGATGGGAATGAACCCTCCAGCTGCCTGGGGAGAGCAGTTTGGAATACAGAGGTGGTCAATCAAATGGCTTTGCTGGTATGTTCGTACCAGCCTGACAGCTCATGGTAGGCCACAGTGATTACACTCCCAACGGAAGTAAGGGGCATGAGTCTGGTATGCTGACAAAGAGATTAATGCCTAACCAAGGAACATGGCAGCATGAAATAAGCCACATGTGCAATGAGTTACTGGATGGGAATGAAAGTTCAGCAGCACATTCTTCGCAAGCACATACAGGCAACCAGACACACTGCTACAGAGAATGGTAGTGATGGATTGCCAATATTTCAAGAAGGGGCTCCCACACCAATGTGCTGTGTCAGCCATTAATACAGGTGATCTTCCCTAAGCAAAAAACACTCCTCCTGCCACCATAAAAGCCATCAATTACATATGCCTCTCTCACGGCTCAGAATATTGATACATCTCTTGCTTCCTATCCCTTTCTTACCTCCTCCCACCACGCCCTTCATCAATCCTTGCACCACCAGAATGGTTTCTTTCTCTCTCTCTCACGCACGCGCTCAGTTTTTACTGATTATTTTTCCATCCGGTTTCCACATCACCTGAGTCCCACTCCTGATCTATAGTTATGGGTTACTTTAACCAGATACCTACTACCCAGAGCTCATTCTAGAATAATTTATCTTTATTACCCGAACTAACAATACTCACACAAGAACAGTGAGACAAATAAGGAACTCATAGTATTTGCATTACTTACCTTGGGCCTTGTGGAAAAACCTGAAGTGTTAGTGCTAGCCTTCATCATCACCATCACCTTCCTCCTCATCACTAGTGACCTCATCCTAGTATCTCCCCTACCAAGGGATGCAGGCACGATAAAGCTTTTATAATGTGTTATGCTGACGCCTACTGGGGTACATATAGTGGTATTGTGAAGGTTAAGTCATTTTGGCAAAATTATCTGGGGAGTCTCAGACAGAAGGTGCTATGTAAATGCAAAGTATTATTATTATTATATTTATTATTCAGACCTTGCACTTGATTTGATGGGAAGTGTTGATACTGGCTATATTTGTCTGGAAGAATTATTGTGAAGCTGCTAGCCAGGCTTCTGTTTTATTAAATACTATTTTTTTAATTGAAATTACTTGCATATGATTGATATAGCAGGAAAACATCTGAAGTTCCCCTCAAATTATTTGTTTTCTCATCCTCTTGTAGTTGCTGTTTCCCTTGAGTAAATCCCAAATTATATTGATTTTGGATTGGACAAAACTTTTCCTCAGAGTCTTTCATAGTTCTTAACTGGCCTCTTCTCCATCTTACCCTTTTCCAGCCACAGTATGCTAATCTTATAACATCTTATCTGCTGTGTCACTGTATTTATTTTCATTGTATGTCTGTCTTCCATGTCTCAGTCTTGTGTTTATTCAACAAGAACTGGGTTTTTGTTATCTAACTTCAGAACTTTAGGCTAAATTCTGTGTTCAAAATGTAACAGTTTTGGTGATGTTTTTCTTACTTGTCAGTTTCACTTTGCTCAGTTTTGTATCCAATTGTGTTACATGTCCTCTTGGAGTAGAGGGGGGCAAACTACGGCCAGCGGGCCACATCTGGCCCACAGGCAGGGCCGACGAGGGGGGAACGGGGGGGGGAAGCCGGTACAAATTACTGGGGCCCGGCGGTCCAGAAGGGGGCCCGGGGCCCGGCTTCCCCGGCTCTGTTTAGCCGGTCCGCCCTTGCTGGGGGGCCCAAATAATTTTTTTCACTGGGGCCCGAACCCGCTCTTGGCGGTCCTGGCCACAGGACCCTTCCCTTTGGCCCCCGAGCTCCTGCCAGGGAGCGGTGTCAGGACAGGCTTGCGGAAGAGCCAGCCCAACTCCCCGGCAGCGCGGTGAGCGGGGCGCAGGCTAGCCCTTGGCCAGTCCCTTTCTGCTCCCCTCCCTCCCTGCCTCCCTCACAGTCACAGTTCCCCCAGTGCCTGGGCAGCGTGGCGCGGTCAGGGGGTGGGGAGCAGGGGGAGTTCCAGGGAGGCTGGAGGGGGGGCAGTCAAGGAGCCTGGACCCTGCTGCCAGGGACAGGGGGAGAGCAAACCAGGGCCCCCCTCCATCCCCAGCATGCTTGGTCCCTGTCCCCAGCAGCCAAGCCCTGACAGGGAGTGAGCCCTGCCCGACTGCCAGGGAGAGCAGCCAAATGAGCAGAGGAAATGCACAGGGAAAGGACTGAACCCCCCTTTTCCCCACCCCACAGGTAATGGGGGGATGGGGATAGCAGGGAGGGTTGGATAGGGGGCGGGGGTCCTGGGGGTGGTCAGGGGGTGAGGAGCAGGGGGGGATTGGATAGGGGATGAGTGTCCAACCCACGGGGATGGTCAGGGGCAGAGAGCAGGGGTATTTGGATAGAATGCAGGAGTCCCGGGGGGCAATTGGGGGGGGGGCTGGAGGTTTTGGGGGGGCTGGATAGGGGGCAGGGGCCAGGCCACGCCTCACTGTTTGGGGAGGCATAGCCTCCCCCAGCCTTCCCTACCCAGCCCTCCATACAATTTCTGTACCCGATGTGGCCCATTCCTGTCTTGGAGTCTCCCCGTGCTTACAAAATGGTTTTATGTAAATTATTTTAGAAAAATTAAATACAGGAGTTGATGAATATAATCTTCATTTCAAAAATTAAGGAAATAAAGGTCGTGTGTGTGAAAAATGCAGGCCAAAGCTCCATTTTAAGAGAAAGCAGAGCAGAATGTTTTGTCTGACATACAAAATTATGCATAGCTCTAAATCATACACACCATATGCTCCTTTGTAGGAGGATTTTTTTAAAAATATGTAGGTCAAAGGATCTGCTCCTGCTCCCACTGAAGTCAATAGCAAAACTCCTTTTGACTTCACTGGTACAGGATTAAGCTCAAAGTGCATCCTACTTGGATTTAGTATGGGATGTTAGTTCTAGACAAGGGACTGACTACATGCTAGTCTCAGCAGCAAGGCCAATCACTGTCTGCAGGCATTGCTTGCTGTGTGGATAAGCTTAAAACTGTTGCTTCCCTTGATGCATTCTGTAGCCAGCTTTGGGCTGTAGCCTCCAGGGATAGAAAGCCAGCACTTTTGTAAATGCCACCTTGACACTAAATAAAATTAAAAACAGAATTGGAGAGGATTGAGTTTTGATTATGTTAAAAGCATCTTGTAAATTAATTTGTCCCCCTCAAGTGGCTGGTCCACTAGAAGATAATAGCTTACTATTGCTACCATCTAAAAAAGGGGTAGATGCTTGTGCTTAAAGGTCCCAAGGTTGAAACCCTGCTGATGATGCAGGTGATGGTGGTGGGGGTCCTAATTTAAAATCTGTGTCAGCCTCAACACGTGTATTGCAATTTTTCTCTGAGCCATTACAACCAAATTGTGGGCAGTATAATGACATTTTGCACTCTGATAGCATCTTTAACCTGGGGATTACACAACATTTTACAAAAATTTGCTAATTACATCTCACAATATTCCTGTTTGGACCCCCATTTGACAGATGGAGAAACTGAGGCACAGATGGATTAATTCCATGGCAATGTAGTTAAATCATTGCCAGCTCGAGAATAAAACTCTCATCTGTTGATATCTGGACCACAGACCAATCTCCTCCTTCTAGAAAAGTAAAAGATGAGGGGGGGGGGACCATCACCTACTATAGAGGGCAGATGGGAGGTTCAGACACTCTGTACCTCAAAATAGCACCCGGGAACCCCCATATTCACTACTGTAATATGATTATGATATGCTTTGTACAATGCATACCTTGTGAGCTACCATTTAAAAAGTCTTGATCTGTTGAACACTAATATCCTGTTGAATTGTCTCTGCTATCGTATGTGAGGTTATGAAGTATTGCTAGATATTTGTTACTGAACTATGTGGTAAATGGGAAAGGCACACAGCTAGCTTTTCAACAACAAAGGAACAACTGACAAGCCAGGTTTAGATCTAGAGTGGCCAGACAGGTGTTGGTGTCCCAGTAAGGGGACTCCATGCTCCCCCATACTCCTGCAGAGGGCTGGGTGCTGATGTCCCTGGGTAAAGGGGGGAGACGGTGCCCCGCGCAGGCGCAGCGCAGGCGGGCTCCGCCAGGGGTCGCTGTGGCGCGCTCTTTGCTCAGACGGCGGGACTAAGGGGCCGGGGCGGTGCCGGCGGTTCCTCAGTGCGCCTGCGCTGCTACATCCCGGGCCCGGCCTCGGCCGCGATCCGGCCCGGCATCCCCCGCGCTCCTGCTGCCCCGCTGGCCGCGCGGCCCGCTCTCGCCGCCATGGCCTTCACCTTCGCCGCCTTCTGCTACATGCTGGCGCTGCTGCTCACCGCCGCCCTCATCTTCTTCGCCATCTGGCATGTGAGTGCCGGGCCGGGGCGCCCGGAGCGGGAGCGGGAGCGGGGCGGGGCTCGGCTCATCCCCTGCCCGCGGGGCGGCGGCGGAGAGCCCGGGCACCGTTTGTTGCCTCCCGTTGTGGCCGGGCCGCTTCCGTGTGTGTGTGTGTG